AAGCGCTTTGGAGTCCTCTGACTCAGAATGTGTCAAATCATCCAATGTCAGCATTTATAAAGTTGCTTCAAAACATGAAACCATGCAGCCCAGCTTTAAGCTACTGTTTTCATCACAGAGGAAACATGTTGTCTAGTGTTTGGTTTTCTTTCATCAAAACATCATTTCTTCATTCTACTCATGAGCACAACAAATGGTGACAAGGAAAACAGAACATGTTTGGGGTGAACTCTGATGCGTGGAGCTGGAGACGTTCTTCACGTAGAGATCTGGACGCGTCGCTGCCTGCAAGCAAACACTTTAAAGCTCAGCGAGAGCAGGGTGGCGATAGCAGCTAAGCTCTCAGGGAAGCTGCAAGCAGAGAGCTCGCAGGTGGATGAAGGTGGAGGATGACCAAATATTGGCTCGAGTGAATCAGACGGCGTATCCGTCAGTAGAAAAAGCAATCCTAGAGCACGTTTCAGCCCCCCCCCCCCATCAGTGCTGATCGTTTTACTGGAGGTGCTCGTGTGTTTAGACATAGATTCGGTTATAGGAGGACCAGAACTGTTTTCTAAAATAAGTCACACAACATAATTCCCACTTCTTACTGACAACAGGAAGGATGAGTCAAAGGAGCCGATTGTTGAAGTGAGAACAGAGGAAGAACACACCCCAAACCAGGAAGGAGGGGTCCAACAGAGCCCACCGAGACCACTCCACTGACCGACCCAGAGTGAGTACCGGCCAGGCCCAGTGCCTTCTTATACTAAACGTCCCATCCATGTTTGCTTCAGGCTCATCCATCACACAGTAATAATCATACACACTATTACCTACTCGCTTACTCAAACACACACACATTAGCTGTGATTTACTCATTTAGCCCGAGGCGCCGTTCTGCTGGAGTACTGGAGGCTCATAATGCTTCATTTATTCCCATTTTTCTTTCCTAGATCAACTTTTCCCATCTAGCTGATGCTACGAGAAAATTCCCATGAAGTTTTTACAAACAGTGTTTTGTGTTGTAGCAAAATGTGTAAAGATAGAAAGCCTGATTAACCACCTTCAGCTGGGCGTTGTGACTAAATGTATGTCAGCATTATTTATTTGAATCTTAATGTATGATATAAATATTTTATATTTTTATTAGTATTTACAAACAAGCACTTAAACGTCTAAGTTACGTATCTCAAATGCCCCACCGCACTTTTACGTATAATATAATTATGATCTGTGTAAAATCATGTAAGGGCCATATGTGGCCACTGGGGGCGGGTCACATCGCATATACCATGAGATTCTCATTTTGTAATGGCATAATTAATCCAGTACTCAGCTGACCTGACCTTAGGTTGGTCCTGCAGCTCAGTGTTGTTCAGGTCATGAGGAACCATCATGGCTGGCGAGTAAAAGTCTCTGAGGTTTTGGGGATGCCCTACCGTACCTGCCACCTGGTCACGCTGGGGGGGTTCAGACCATCTAATGGTCAGTCATGGCTAAAAGACTTGCTAACGTACCCCAAAAACTGACAAACCTCAAAGCAGACTGTAACGTTCAGGACAGCCATGCTGTGGTTTTTTAGGAAACTAAAGAAAAACGTTTCCATAAATTCTTTAAATCCTTTGTGATATTCTCGCTTTTGGTGTTCACTCTCTTGTTTAAGTTGTTTGGTGGGCTGCAGCGCTGAATTTCCCTCAGTAAGAAGGAAAACACAACGCATGTTGGCCATCTCTGTAATGTATTTATTTCACACCCATCAGAGCCCTCAGTAGCCCGTGGGAGAGCCAATCGCAGCCACAGCGGCTTGGCGGGGTCACCGTTCTGGCTCTGTTGACCCACTCGGGCTGTTCAGCTCTAAAAGGCTTCGTTTATACCTACTCATACGTTCCTACTTCTCCGCTGGTGTGTCAGCGTTACGAAGCAGTTCTCCGCCAGGACAGCAGGGGGCGTAGACCTTTTCCAACAGCTGGCAGGTCTGCCTACCATTCCAATGATGTCTCTGGCCAATGACGCTTTATTTACTTCAGCTTGTAAACAAAAACAAGTCAAGGAGCAACGAGCACGTTTTTAATGAGCGGGATCTTGAGGAAGAAAAACTTTTATCACAAATGAATTCAAAAACACCTCCACAGATGGAAAAGTGGAACTTAGCTACCAAGAAGCAATGTTTATTACTTCTTGTGCCAACTTTATTGTCCCAGTAAACCGTCCTTCCTGTAACCGTCCTTTGGGGACCGGTGTTGTAATGTGAAAAAGCCCCCCTGCTAAGAAAGCACACCCCGTCATGGGGAGTGCATCAGTAGAACAGCATGGCATCAGATGTGAAACGCACAGGTGTTACTGAGGTAGATTGTTTAAATGTGGCAACAAGTTGCTAATCTGACTGATTATTTTAATCCGCAGGGGTCAAAGACTAGCCATGGGGTGTCAAATATCATTTATGTGATGCTATTTATTCCTGATTAGCTATTGGAGCAAAAGCTTTAATATAACATGAAGCTAAATTTTGACCCTTTTTATAAAACATTTTTGAGTGTTTTTTTTTTATGCTTCGTTGCAGAAGTTTTGTTTGATGCTGTTTTCTAATTAGAAAATGTTCAACTTTAATTTAAAAATCTGGGTCTAAACGGTTAAATTTACAAATAGTTTTTATATGAAAGTTTAAAAACATTTTGACTAAAACATTATTTTTCCTGAGTAAAACCCTGAACGCTTCATTAGTGTGTTGTTCCTCCCCACTAAAGCTATGCTGTTAACATTGTGTTTGCGTAGAGATTACGTTCCACTGAAACACAGAATCACTAATCTGATGGTTTTTGCCCTCACCTCCACTCTCCTTCTGCCCTTCACTCCTCTCTGTTTTCTGCTTCTCCTCCTGTGTTCGCTCCTCCTTTTGTTTTCTTGCTACTCCTTAAACAGGCCGGCGGCTGCAAACACCCCGCACATGGTGGTTAACTTAAACCCCTCCGCTGCTGCTAACTCGGTTTCTGAGAGCTTTAGCACGTCGCAGAATAATCCTGCACCCAATCCAACCAACGGAGCTCCTGCCAAGTCTTCTCCCAAAAACAGCACGGCCAGTTCGCTTAAAGCTGACCCCGAACCTGGGGTTGGGCCTCTGGTTGACCTGAGCGACACTCCTAGAGTTGCCCTTTCCTCCAACCCGACACCTCCTGTGTTAGACCCCAGTGCTGACAGGTCACAGAGTCGCTCCGGGAGAGCCCCCGACTGCAGCCAGAGTAAGGAGTTACAAGTAGACGGTCCGGCCAAAGATGCTCCCCATGCCCCGAGCTCAGACTCGACCGCATCAGCCCAAAACGAGTATGAAAGTCTCCATTACATCACATAAGCTCACTTGTGTTGTTATCACCTCATCAGGCTGTCATTAACAAGGAAAAGATTCACCCTTAAATGCCAACTTCTAGCTTTGACCCCCCACATGCGGAGCTTTGCTCACATAAGTCGTGTTTCCGTTTTAGGAGTTCTGGGTTAGGGTTAGTGACTCGTAAACACGGTGGCTCGGTCCTCTCCCCCCTCTCAGGACTTTGCTGAGATGTCAGCATATCCCAGTCGTTGCGGCGGTGTGTGATGTCACTCATCAGCATCAAAAGGCGTCCGCAGACCTAAATAACATTAAGAGCAGGTTCACTGAGGAACCATTTTTTATTTATTATGTTTTAAATAATCAGTCACTCTGTCACTTAGCATTCATGGACTCACCCACCCTGACTCACGACGGGGAAGGCTGTTGTTGGTTTAGCGTCCAGGAAACAGCAGACGTCTCAACTAGGCTGACCGTTAGCGTTAGCAGCACAGCAGGCTTGTGTTGTGTGAGGAGATAAAACATCAACGTTGCAGCACAAACAGAGCCAGTGGTCAAGTCGCTTTGCTGTTATCCAATCAGAGGCGAGATTCCCAAATATCAGGAAATAAGACTCCAAATCCCGCAGCCTAAACCACTTTCTCCTCTGGCTGAGTTGTGTGTTCTCAAACAGGAGCACCAGAGCTTTTGTCCCAGATTACGACGCACCGGGTGTTCATTTCCACTAGAGACGGATTATAAATGTGAGTAAAGGTTTAAAAAGGTTTTATTCCATCAAAGTACATCATAACTTAATCTCTGTGCTGCAGTCAATGCCAGAGAAAGCCCTGTTGTGTTACAGCCTTCTGTAGGAGACCACACGATGACATAACTGATGGTGTTTGGGGGTGGGGGGTGCTAGAAACGGCGATATTTAAGCAGCATCGGAGCTGTGGAGCGTCACCAAATGGCCTGATGTTAAGACTCACAGGTCAGATCCACAGCCTGGGTCACCTTGCCCTGGCTTATTTTCTTTTCCCTCCAGTCCACTTCACCAACACCTGCTGGCGACGTCTGCTGATGTAATTTCCTGCTGACTTACAACCAATCAGCATGAGTTAATCACAAGCCCCGCCCAGTGACTCTACCGGACACACCCCAGTCCAGGTACTCGGTTGGTCCCAGAAAACGGTCCTTTTAGCTTCTCTGTCCAGTAGAATTACCCAAAAGTTCTGATTGTTGAAGCGGGCCTATAAAGATAAGTGACCAGATACAAAATATTCCCTTTCCTGGATGACTGAATGATCACTTTACTGCAGAGTCTCTAATGCATGCCGTTTGTTTTAAAGTGTAATGAAGTCCAAACAGCCTCAGTGTGACAGGAACCGTTTTATTTCGTATTTAATTTTAGAAAAATACCCGTCGTGATTCTGCGTCTGCAAAGTTTGAAACTTGCAGCCTGATAACATTTCCCTCTAGAAACTGCTGACCCGTAGAGGACTTTGATGGGCTTGATCCCACTCTGAAATATGTTTCAGCTGTTGGCCCGGTACCAGAATTCAGTAAGCACCAACAGTGGGCAGAGATCCAGAGGCGGGCTTCAACAGGAGCCATGATGCACCTGCATAAATTACAGCTACAAGTCGTGTGGCAGGTTGGAGAAAGAGCACAGCTGGGGTTGGAGACGCGTGCGGCCCAGTTGGGAACACTTGTGAAAGTTTGTTATGATTTGAAAACACTGACCTGTTTTCTGATGAGCAAGACAGAAATGCATTGTGGGAAGCAAAGTTAAACGTCTGTCAGAGTAACAGCAGACTGTGTTCAAGCAGGAAACATCTTGATGGTTTAAGGAACATTTAAGGGTGGAACTTCCTTTAATGGTGCCAGATGTTGGCGATGTAGCTAAACGTCCGATGATGTCACCAGTGCATGCCTCCATCATCGAGCCTCCGCCTCCATCCTACACCCGTTTGTTTGTTTCTTCATGTTTCTGAGGTCTTTCTCCCATTGTAGAGCTTCTAGACATCATTCCTGGATGATTAGCAAATTAAAGGTAAGCAGGTAAAATGATGCTGTTGGTCATATTTACTGTAGTCCAAGTCATGCCACATGAGCAACAGGACAACGAGTCATTTAAATGATCAGAACTGAAATTGTTGACACTAATTAGAAAATTGATTGTGAACATGTTTTTTTATCTAATGGACTCCGTTCTCAATCAATCAATCAAAGCTTTATTTATAAAGCGCCTTCTGCAACCCTGTCAGGAAGCCCAAGGCGCTGAATATGGTACAGTAGAAGTACAAATATAGTGAATAAATCAGAAAATAAAAGCCATTCAAATTACAGATTACAAATTCTGCATTCTGGCATGCAAGCCTTCTTTAGAGGGTTGAGTAGATTAAAACCAACAGTGTGCCGTGTTCAGGTCCGTA